AGAAAGTAATTTCTCCTGATGTTTGAGATGATTCCCTGCTTATTTTAGAGTGGTTGGACTAGTTGTCCTTTAAAGGTCCTGTGCAACCCAAACTATGCTGTGATTTCATTCCATAAAATCTGCTGCTCTAAAACAAATCAGGGAGGGAGGGAGGGGGAATGTGTATTCTGGGGTGGTGCTCACATGTATTCCTGCTTGGCCAGTGTTGCTGGATCACATTTTACAGGAGAGGTTGCTGATTGTCTCCAGCAAATGCTTAAACATAGAGAATTTGTTATTCCCCACACACCACGTTGGAATGTCTGCTGCTTCTCGACTGTCAGACCTTGGTCTCTTTGAGATCTTGGATTTGATACATCTCTCTCTCCCAGCTTTTCAGAATCAAAGGGCTTTGGTTTTAATCCTTAAGCAGACTTCCTTGGGTGATGTGTTAAACAAAGGAAACCCAGTGATCCCTTCTGTTTTGGGGCTGTTTGGAGCAGCAGCTCTTTAACACTGCACCATGGATGTTGGAATAGTCCTCTGGCTTCCCATGGAGTGTCTCAGCCCTGCCAGGAGTAGGAGACAGACAGCAAGGGATTCTGGGAGTGGAGTGTCCCAGGGTGAGACTTGTGCCTGGAAATGTGGCGGGACTGACTGCCCTGGGGTGGAGGATGGGGCAGGGAGTACAGTGAAGCTCCCGTGTTCATGTAGAAGTGTCCCAGACCAGGTTGGACAGGGCTTGGAGCAACCTGGGCTAGTGGAAGGTGTCCCTGCCCATGGCAGGGGGTGGAGTGAAAGGGTCTTTAAGGTGCCTCCCAAGCCAAGCCATGCTGTGGTCGTGCGATGTGGTGCCTCAGCCGCAGCCTGCCCTGAGCTCTCTGTCCCCGCAGCTCTATGCAGAGAAGGTGGCCACCAGAGGCCTGTGTGCCATCGCCCAGGCCGAGTCCCTGCGCTACAAGCTCCTGGGAGGTCTGGCCGTGCGACGGTGAGTGCAGCAGCTTACACGCTTACTTCTCGTAGCAATTACCTCTTTCTGGCATAAAAGTTGCAGGCTTGGAGTAGATGAGATTGCAGGTTGTCTGCCTGCCCTAAAGCTTGCATTTATCCCTTTGTGGAGGAGCGAGGCGGGGGCTCAGGTGACAGTGGCCCTGCTCCCAGCTCCCTTCGGTGATGAGCCGATGACGAGTCAGATGCAGGTGGCTCTGCCTGAGGTACCTCTGTGGGGTCACGTTCTGTGACGCTGCATGAGGGCCTTCAGCAGGAGCCTCCTGTCACCAGTGGATGATCTGGAGGCATTTGTCTGAGAAGGGACGGGGTGGATTGTCCACCCTCAGCTATGGAGCCGTTTCTGTGTCACTGTCCCCACAGTCTTACAAAGTCACAACAGTTTACTCAAGCTGGGCTTCACAGTACTAAAATGGCGTGGAGACTTTTGCTGCCTTGCCCAGCACTGACAGAGCTTTGGCTGCAGAGCTGTGCCTTCAGAAGGCTTTTTACAAGCAGAAGTTGAAGCGGGATGGGCAGTGCTTGGAATTGTGGTCCCGGATCCCTGTGGATCTGGGCAGTGGGCTCACGGCGTGGCTGTTCCCTGTCCCTGCAGAGCCTGCTACGGAGTCCTGCGCTTCATCATGGAGAGCGGGGCCAAGGGCTGTGAGGTGGTGGTGTCTGGGAAGCTCCGAGGGCAGAGGGCCAAGTCCATGAAGTTTGTGGATGGCCTGATGATCCACAGCGGAGACCCCGTGAACTACTACGTGGACACAGCCGTGCGTCACGTCCTCCTCCGGCAGGGTGAGTGCCACTGCCAGCTCCATGGGCTTCCTTCCCAAACTGCTTTTGGGAGTGGGCAATGAAGGGGCCTTCAGCAGCCAGTGGAATTTTGGGTGGTCATCCCAGGGCATCCACTTCTCTGGTGGTGGGGTTTGAATGTTTCCAGCTGAGAATGTGGCCGTAGATTTTCCAGATACTCTCACTTGAGCCCTGGGGCCTCTGAGGTAGGTAAGAAATCAACTTATAAATTAAACACTTATAAGACTGGGATTAAGAGCTGTTGGCAGTTTGCATCCTGGCTTTCCTGGTTCTTCGGGATGGGCAGAGAGAAAGTGGATGCTACAAAAAGGGCGAATGCCAGCCAGTTCTCCCCCGTAGCTGTGCCCTGGCGAGTCTTCCCAGCTAAACCTGCCTCCTCTTGCTCTTCCCCGTGGTAAAACACAAATGACTTGTGCATCTTAACTGGCTCTGGGGTATTTAATTGCAGAATTCCTGGTGTAGGGATGGAACTCAGCCAGTGCTGTTTCCCACCTTCCCTTCGGTGATGATACGATGACGAGTCAGAAGGGACGACCCTGTGTCACTGCAGCCCTGTCAGTGCCATGTTCTGTGGGGCTGTGCTGAGGCTGCCTTGGCCAGGGTGTCCTGCTCATTGGATGATTTAGAGGCATTTGTCTGAGAAGGGATGGAAAAAACCCGGTGGAATTGCCTGGGAAAACGAGCTGAGTTATCCCGGGAAGAGCACAGAGTTTAGAACCAGGATGAGGCTGAGCTGGGGGTACTGCTGAAAGGCAAGGGGTTGGATAACTTTGGATCTTGCCTGTGTTTAAATTCCTCATAGTAATTTCCTGATGTAAATTCCCAATAATAAGATTTCTAAGCTATAGCATGGCTGTGTTACAGTGTTGGCAGGAGATACTTTGTGACCTTGGTGCTCCTCCCTGTCAATGTGTTGTCCTGTCCCTCTCTGCAGGAGTACTGGGAATCAAAGTAAAGATTATGTTGCCTTGGGACCCAAGTGGAAAGATTGGCCCCAAAAAGCCTCTGCCAGACCACGTCAGCATCGTGGAACCCAAAGAGGAGATCCTGCCCACCACCCCCATCTCAGAGCAGAAAGGGGGCAAACCAGAGCAGCCAGCCATGCCTCAGCCTGTGCCCACTGCCTGAGGGTAAGTGCCTGCAGGCTTGGGGGAGGGAGAATCCATGTGGGAAAGGTGCCCTGCCACCAGAAACTGCTATCAGGCAGCTGGGATTCTGGGAAGACAGGCCGGGTTGGGTTTGAGCAGTGCCCTGGATGAAGAGGATGTGGTTTAAGGCATGTGGCAGAGCAGCTTCAGGGGAGAGGAGATGATGAATCTGAAAGGGAATATCCCTGTCCAAGTGCCCTGTTCAGTTTTGTGCAGCATAAATTTGGGAATCTTGGGTCTCAGTTGGAGTGACTTGGGACATACATGTTTGAGAAGGGTTTGGTGCCTTGGATGTGTTACACCCCCCAAATAGCCCCCCTTCCCTGGGATCTAGTTTGGGATAGTCTTGGGAGCCATCAAGCACAATGTGTAGGCTGGTTTTGTAAGGAAATAATCCCAGTTTGAAATCCTGTTTAAGGAATCTGACTGGCAAGATCTGTCTCAGTGGGAAAAGTGGGATCACTGGCCAAAGTGCAGGAAGGGAGAAATTCCATTTAATTTGGAAACTTGGAGCCTGTTTGTTTGTTCCATTTTTGAGGTAGGACAATAGTTGGGAGAAGTTTGGCACCAGCTCACTCTGTTTTGTTCTTTGTTGTAGGGTTTGTCCCATGTGGAACCAGAAGCTTGGCTGTCCTGAAAACATCTCTTAATAAAATCACAAAAGACAGTGTTTGTGAAGGTGCTTTTTCTTTCTGTGCAAGATACGCTCCAGGAAAACCTTGCTCCCACTTCTAGTGTGGAAGGAATTGTGTTGCATTTCTTCCAGCTTGTTCCTTATGGGATGAACTTCACCAGCTCCTGATCCAAAGTGGGGATAAAATGCTGATTTCTAGGCAGAGCTGGAGCAGCAATTGGTGTTTAGAGGGTCATGAGTCACAAACATTCCATGAACTGGAGTACTGTACTGGGGGCTCTTCCCTTCCATTCCAGGGCCTTACCCGAGGTTTCCAGAAGGGGGAGCTTTTTTAGGAATATCCAAGGGAATTGCTGAAGTTTGTACCTTTCTGGCTTCAGTTGAACTATTATTATATTCTACTTAATGCTTTTATCACCTCTGTGTATCCATGGCCCCTGTCACTGGAAAGATGTTTGGGATGTGACTTCCCCATTATAGGATCATCTCTATTCCTTCCAGGAACAGATGCAGCTCGTTTTAGGGTCAGGTAATTTGAGATGGGAATATCTGGTGGAAGTCTGGGGCAGATGAGATGGGAATATCTGGTGGAAGTCTGGGGCAGGAATGGGAAGGGACCCATCACAAGAGGTGATGTGTGTTTAGATTTTGAGGAATTCAGAGCCTGGTTGTTGCTTTAACAAAACTTGTACCACAGACTTTGTTGCTTTCACAGCCAGATTTCCATTTTCAGGAGGTTTCTCGACAGGAATTTAGGAACTGGAATTCTGCTGGTGTCAGGAACTGGGCTGTGTGGCAGAAACAAGATGTGCCTTCTCAGGGTGTGAGTGAGTCTCATCTCAGGTTTTTTTGCACACCTCTCAGTGGAAAGATTGAAATATTTAGTAGTAAGTAATACCAACATTAATTATTGATTTTTTTTAAACCTGAATTTGGAAAAAAAATCTGGAAATATTAAAGGTCACAGATGAGCTTTGTCACTTTGGAGGAGCAGGAAATGTGTGAAAGCTGGGAGAGCTGAAGCAATAAAGAGTGACACAGCTTTGCATATTGTCTCTAAATTCTTAAACACCCCAGTCTGCTGGAAATTATCCCATAATGGTCAAGGTGATGTTTTCCCTAGGACAGAAATCCCTGAGGATTTAAAGTTGCTTGGAAGGTGAGCTGGGGGTCAGATGAGCTCAGGGAAACTTTTAATTTCTTTTCAATATTGCTATTCCAGGGTGGATGTTGGATCCAAAGATGTTGGATATTTGGGGTTTCAGGAGCAAAAAAAATTCCCAGTGCAGTGCAAAGGTGACCTGCTAGAAGTGTTCTTTCTTCAGGATTGTCCTGTCATGGGAATTCACCTGTTGCTGTGCATTGAGGGTAATTTTTGTCCAGGTATGGCAAGGAACCTCCCTAAGTTTATATTTTAAAACTGCCAGAGATTCATTGAAAAAGTTTTATTGCAAAATTACACATTTATGTCACTGTGTGGCACAAGACCAGACAATAAAAGCCCTCACACACCTGCACCCACACGATGCAAATAATTCCCAACATCCCACGGTGTGTTCCTGCCTTGCCCACCCCTCTTACCCCCCCTCCCCATCCTCCAGAACCTTCTGCAGCGTGTGGGGTCAGTGCTGACTCACCGGGAAGTGTCCAGGCTTCCTGGGCATTGGATGCATCCCTGGGATTGCCTCCTGCCTCCCACCACAGTGGGGAAAGCTGGGAATATGCAGTACTGGGCTTCTAAGACAGCAAGGAAATTAGCAGGGAAGTAAAAATCAAGCAAAGCCATGTGGTCGGTCCGTGGTGCTTCCAAAGAACTGGTACTGCCCTCGGGATGCACTGAGTTCCCTCCTTCCAATAATCTTATTTGCCACGTGAGGTGTGTGAGGTCATGGCCAGGCTTACCTGGAATGCCGGTGGGATATTACAGTATCCCTTAAAAAGAAGTCAGGAATAGCCTCCAAGTCTAGGCTGGCTCAGACTGTGACACTTTAGGCTAATTATCAGCCATAAATATAATATAAATACGTTTGGGGTTGAGCCTGCCCTCACCCAGGCCAGCAAACAGGGAGCCAAAACACCACGGAGCTGCAGCAGAGGAGCCTTGGGAAGTCAGGCAAGAGCAGCTTTCAAGCTTTGTGTTTAAACAAGGAAAAGCCAGCCAGCAGGGCCTTGGCTCAGCCCTGCTCCGAACTGGGATCACCCTCACAGTGGGAACTCTCCCAGCCCTACCTGCTGATGCAGGAGCACCAAGAGATGTGGAGTTCTGGGCCTGGTACAGGGTGTTCAATGCCAGGGGTGATCCCCAGAGAGGTGGAGTGTTGAAGGGACCTCAGGTTTATTTTCTAGGAGTCCAACCTGCCCTTGGGCCTATCCAGGAAGTGTTGATCCAAGCTGGCTTTGGTGTCCTACCTAAGGATGACCCGCTGTGGGTGCAGCATCCAGCACTCCCCCAGCCTGGGTTAGGCAGGACAGAAGGGCACAACTCCATGAAACCTCCCTTCTCCAGCTGTCCCAGCCCTGCTCTGCTCCCAGGGCCCTGGAGGGGCTGGACTGCACAGCTGGCCCTCGGTGCTCTGCTGCAAACCACTGAGGAGAGAGGAGAGAAGCAAGAAACAACAGCAAAGCAACCAGAGCAGCTCTGGAGCGGTGCCACGGGGCATCCAAGCAGGAGAAAAGCAAGTGGCAGGGACACAGAAGTGTTTGGGAGGGAAGGTGGTCGCAGCAGGAGGCATAACTAGTGCAGGGAGGAGCTGGGCTTCAACCTGGACATCTCCCTGAGGATGCCAGTTCCCTTCCACTGCCGGTGACCCTCTTGTGCCAGGCTCCCCTGATCCTCTCCGGAGGTGGGTTTGTGCAGCAAGGATTTGGGGGGGTGAGGTAAAGTGTCTGCTGGTTCCTCATCACAACGCACCCTGGTCTGAATAGCACCCATGGTTCGAGAAGGATACAAAAGAGTGTTGCCCCTTGTTCGAAATCGCCCACTAAAAACACACACAAACCAAAGCTCTGGGAGAAAACAAAAAAACCCACCAAAACCACCAACCAGCTACAACTCATCCCGCATCTTGTCACCCTTGGGCCTCACGAGCCGGCCGATGAAGAGGATGGAGTTGGTTTTAGTGTCCTTGATCATGAAGATGAAGGGGTGGTCGGCGTAGAACAGCTTGGGGTTCCTCATCTCCTCGCGCCCGTAGATGTCGGCGTCGTAGGGGTTCCCGTCCGTGTCCCACTCCAGGGCGGCCGCGTGGAACACGTTGGACAGGTAAAGGTCCTTCTTGCCAGAGATCTTGGACAGGTCAGCCTTGGTCTTGTCAATGGCTTCTGTCAGGCCCAGGCCACCCAAGTGTTTCTAGGAGGAGAAGAGGGCTGAGTGACCCTCCTGGAGGTGACGCAGCACAGCCCTTCCCAGCCACGGCTGCTGGGAGGAGGATCAGGCACAGACAACCCGTCCCGCTGTCTTCCCCACTATCCCAAAGAACTGCTCTCCTTAAGGACCCCCCTTACCTGAAGGTCATGGCTGACTTCCAGGACAACTTTTGGCAGCGAGATGGCCACTGATCTCTTCTTCATCTTGCCAGCCCAGGTCTTCAGCTGCTCCTTGTTCAGAAGTTTCTCAACCCTCTCCAGAGGCTCCACGTGGTTTGGCATGATGAAGATCATGCTGGAGAGCTTGTGAGCAAGGGGCATCTCCACCACCTGGAGCTTCTCTGTCTCATCATCATAGTAATTGTAGAGACCTGGAAACCAGGAGGAGGAAATGGTGAGATGTGGAGCAGAGGCGAAGCTACATAAACCTTGTGAGTTCACCCTGGCCTTTCCCTGACCAGCAAGGGAAGTGAGTCTGGACCATTTTGGGAACTGGCCCAGCATTATTAAGAGTTGGCTGTGACTCTCACTGGCGCGATGAGCCAGGATTTGTTCCCCACAGCCAATAGTAAACACGGATTCTCTGCTCACAGGGAGATGGAATCTGCAGAACAAACACATCCTGCTTTGTTCTGACTTATTCCCATGGGGCCAGAAAATCTTGGAAGCAGTTGGAGAACTGGGCAACGGAGCAGCAACGAGTGTAACTCTGGTGGGTTTTGGTGTGGGGCAAGTTTGCACTCACCTGTGCGGTGCATCATGGGCACTCCCACGGTGTAGGAACGGGTCACCATGAACCCACGGTTGTCCACCATCTTATGATGGAACTTCTCATCCCAGTGAGCTGCAGGAGAGAGAGAAATCCAGTAAGAAAAGGGAATGGGGGGTAATTTCATGCTCTGACAAAGAGCCTCCAGCGCACCCAGGATTTGCCCACCTTCCCTTTGGGCTGCTGGATGATCTTTAAGGCCCCTTCCAACCCAAACCCTTCTTCTGTGGTTCTTTGTTGGCTCAGGGCGGGTTTTGGGCCACTCATACCAAGACCCGAAGGCAGAACTTACGCTTGAAGAACATGGCGTTGACAATGAGGGCCCCGTCCGTCTTCTCCACGTCCTTGGTGACCTCGGGCAGTTTCCCATCCGTGGTCTGCGCCGCCCACTCGTTGATGGACTTCAGGGCGCTCCTCTTGTCGCGGAAGTTGATCTTGGAGTGCTCGTAGTTGTAGTGCTTCTTGCTGTTCTTCACGAAGTCGTCGGCGAAGTTGATGGAGGCGGGGCCGTAGAGGCGGCTCCCGATCTTCCAGGTGACGTTGCGGGCGGTGCTGTTGCTGACGTCGTTGAGGAGCTCGGACAGCCCGCTGTGCACGTACTCGTCGTTCAGCTTGTCCGCGCTCAGCACCGCCTTGGCCTGCGACGCCGTGCCCGCCTTGCCCCCGAGGGACACGAGGCCCAGGGAGGAGGCCACGACCACGGGGGACAGCAGGATGTTCTCCATGTCCTTGTCCTTGGCCATGGCGTGGTAGAGGTTGAAGGCCAGCGTGGTGCTGCGCTCGGCCAGCGTGGTGGCCTTGTCGCTCAGCTTCCTGTCCTCCGAGGGCACGGCCGCGGCCAGGCCGCACAGGGCCAGCGCCAGGACCATCCACATGGCTCCAGCTGCTCCCAGCGCCTGCCTGGCAAGAACAACTCACCGTCAGCACCGTCCCAACCCTGCCTGGAGCACTCAGAGATCCCAGAGAAACCCACTCCCTGGGTCCAGCGACGGGCACAGCGCCAAGGCTCCCCTTGGGCTGCAGCAATCCCAAGTCCACAGTGGGATTTCCTCTGTGCAACGATGAATCCTCGGGAGACCAGCTATTCCGAGCCTGTGCATTTGGAATGGGAGCTTCCTTACCAAGGACTTTGACTGTATTACTATTCATGCACTGTAAAGGATTGAAAGAGGGGCCAGGAAATGGAAACAACAGGTATTTCTGAGGTGATTCCAACAGGACAAGGGGGAATGGCTTTAAACTGGAAGAAGGCAGGTTTAGATGGGATGTTGGGAAGGAATTCCTGGCTGGGAGGGTGGGGAGGCCCTGGCACAGGTTGCCCAGAGAAGCTGTGGCTGCCCCTGGATCCTTGGAAGTGTCCAAGGCCAAGCTGGAGCAACCTGGGACAGTGGGAGGTGTCCCTGCCCATGGAAACCTCTGCCCTGGTCAGGGAAAGCTGGAAGCAGGATGTTTCTGCTGCTCAGGGGCCACACAGCAGAGTTGCCCCTTGATCCAGGGGTATTGCAACCAGCAACAGGGACTATCCTCTCTTGGACCAGCTGGTCCCCAAGTCCTCAGCTTCCTTGGCACTAGATGGAGCACATGAGCTTCCACCAGGCCAAGTCAGAGGGGTCCTTTGAGAAGATCCAACATTGCCTGCTCAGCTCTGGTGGTTTTAGTTTTGCCTGTACAGCCCTGCCAGGGAGGTCCCAGGGCAGAGGGAGGTGGTGGACCCTCATTTTCCACACCAGAGTTCACGCCTCGAGTAGAAGCATCTCATCCCAATGTAGGGGATGAGCAAGGGCTCTGAGCCACCAGCTTTGCTAAATCTGCAGCCTGCCCAGCCCTAAATGCCTGAAAGCTCTTTGGAGCTCATCCCACCTGCCTGCAGGGCTATAACGTGTCCCCATACCTTCCCTCCCTCCTGCTGCTTCAGCAAACCTTCCTGATGGCAGCTCCTCGGGGCTTAAATTCCACCACCTTCAGCTTTTGGGCGAGGACAGGCTGTGCCGTGCCCAAGGTTACGGCGAAGTTTCTTTTCTTGGTGTTCCTCTCCTCCCACCCTGCTCCCGACCAGCTCCTGGTGTGGGGACACAGGGAAGGGCTGCAGAGGAGCAGCTCCAGGGTTAAAGGCTCCAGAGCAGGAAGCGAGGGGCCCGCTGGGATTCCACATGGAAGGAAACACGCAGCACAGTCCTGGGCACAGAGTGCGCAGCTGCACCGGGGACCCTCTGCCAGAGTGGGAATTACGCGGCCTCGGAGAGGGAGGCGGTTCCTAGCCTAAAATCCCCTTGGGAGCAAGCCCTCCTTTACAGGGAACAGCCATCCCAGCCACCTACAGAGCAAAGACTCGTGCAACAGGCTCCAAACTGCCCCGGACACGCTTTGAAAGCGCAGGCACATCTAAAACCTTCGGCTTTTTATTTCCCTTTTTGATTTCTAAAGATACCTTGAAACTCTTTCATAGTGAGGTCAACGTTTGCCTTTTTCATTCTGAAAGAAAACAGATACATGGAGTAGTTCTCTTGTGAGCAAAGGGCGGCTCATCCTCAGCTTAAAAAAAAGCTTCGTTACTTCAGAGACGGGCGACAAATTTGGCTCCGAGCTCTGGGCTGTGCCCAGTGACGCGGCCCCGCGGTGCCAAGACAAGAGAAACTTTGCCCATTCTTGGAGATTATTGGGGAATTCACAACCCAGGGTGAAAACCGAGGGAATCTGGGGAATGCACAGCCAGCGACATCCTCTCTCCTGCTCGCCCAGCCCAGCCCCGGGGGGACGCCCAGTGCCAGCGTGGCATCGCAGAGACCTCCCGTGGCATTCCAGGGACCGCCGTGGGCACCCGCCGTCCCGCAGGACTGGGAGGTGCCATCGCCCGGGACGAACGGCCAGAGGCGCCCGCCCCGTTTGCCCCGCGAGCAGGACAAAGGCACACAAAGAAAGGCCGTTCCCGTGTCACCGCAGGGATGTGACACTCGGCCAAGGCCAGGCTTAGTCCGTCCCGCGCAGAGGCTGCAGGCAGAGCGCTCCTTCCCAGGCTGGGCCGGTGCCCAGGGTCCCGCAGGCTCCCAGGCTGAGCAGGAGCAGGGGCTGGACGCTCCTCCAGCACCATCCCACCGAACTAAAGCTTCCCTTTAGCCCCCTCTTCCCTTTTGCCACGCCCTGAAAGTTTCTCCCGGCTGCACAAACCAGGGGTGCAGCTCCGCTGGAAGCACCTCTGGCAAACTGGAGGTGATGATGGGGGGGGGGAGGGGGGAATTTATAACATATTTTATATCTCTCAAAAAGCCCGAGCCAGCTCACGGGGTAGTCTGTACCCTCCACTATCCCCCCTTCATCCCAGTGCAACCTCTACCCCCCATGCACCCCGTTCTCCCATGCACCCCCTTTTCCTATGCAATACCCCCCTCCTCCCGATTTTTTTCCCCGATGGGGCCAACCAGGAGGATGCAGGACCCCAAAAATCCTCCCCCACCCTGCTGCAATCCCCGCCTGCCAGCCCGGGGTCCCCCGGTCCCCCCCGCTTACCTTTGGGGTCGGGACGCGGTTTCGCTCGGCTCCCCTGTGCACCTCCCGGGCCGGCGGAGGGGGTATATAAGGGGCCGGGGAGAAACTTCTGGAAAGTTGGTTAAACCCTCTCAAAAAAAGCTCGGGAGGGAGAGGAAGGGGAGGATCTGTCCCGGCTCTCCCGATCCGCCGCCAATGGCGAGGGAGCGCCGGCCCCGCGGCCGCCGAAGGGGGGTCCGCAGGGATGGGGGGGATGCGCCGGCCCTGCTCTGCCCCTGCCCGTCCCCGTCCAGGCCCCGCAGCAGGGATTTGGGAAGCTATTCCCTGCCAAAACGGTGCTTTTGCGTTTTTACGGGGCTCTGGTCCCTCTTATTTCCCTCCCCCTGGCATCTCCTGCAGCTGCATCGTTGCTGGCACTGAAGGTGGTGGTATATTGAATAGTTTTTTTGGGGGATGTCATCACCCACGAAGTCAGGGGTGATGCAAAGAGCTTCAGCCACAAGCAGAGCAGTGACAGGCACTGAACGTTTAACATCTGTCCCTGGCTCAAGCCACATCCTGCCTTCTGAAATGTCCCTCTCATTGGTGACACCCGAGAGAGAAGAGGCTCCAGGGAGAGCTGAGAGCCCCTTCCATGGCCTAAAGGGGCTCCAAGAGAGCTGGAGAGGGACTTGGGACAAGGGCTGGAGGGACAGGACACAGGGAATGGCTTCCCACTGCCAGAGGGCAAGGATAGATGGGATATTGGGAAGGAATTCCTGGCTGTGATGGTTGGGAGGCCCTGGCACAGGTTGCCCAGAGAAGCTGTGGCTGCCCCATCCCTGCAAGTGTCCAAGGCCAGGCTGGAGCAACCTGGGCCAGTGAAAGGTGTCCCTGCCCACGGCAGGGGGTGGGACGGGATAGTCATTAAGGCCCCTCCCAGCCCAAACCATTCTGGGACTCAATTATTCTGTGGAGACAACCTGCATTCACTCCCCAGGGACCTGAGGGCCAAAGGAGAGGCACCTGGAGAGCTCCCGCCTATCCCTGTATCCCTCAGAGGCTGCTTTTCCATCCCTCTCCCCACCTGCACTCACTCATCCTTTTCCCCAGCAGCTGGGCCTGATGGAGCTGTGAACTCCTTACAAATCCCCCCTTCCACATTCCCAAATTTCCCCCTGCTCTCCTGGGCTCTGCCCTTCATCACGGTGCAACCCAGTGGCAAAATCCTCACGCCTGGCAAAGTGAATGCAGTTTAGAAAGGCCAACATTGCCAGCCCCAAAGGCCTGTGGAAGGAGTTAAATGCTCCTGCCACCCCGTGCCAGGTGGCTGAGAGTTCTTGCAGCAAAATATGTGCCCTGGAGAGGTTTCTGCGCTGAGTCACAAGAATTAAATACAACTCACATCCAGGTTTTAAAGCAGCATGGGATTGTTTTCATGGCAGGCTGGGATACAGGGGTATTCCAGGTACCCCCCAGTCATTCAGCACCTCACTGATGGTTCCATTAACATGTTTATGTCTCCCCTTCCTTCTAAGCCCCCTGTAATTTCATTTTTGCCCCTGTTTTTGGCCCTGCAAGTTTTCCCTCTTCCCTCTAAAGACAAGTTGTTGCTTTAGTAGAAAAACAGCATCTGATTTTGTCTTCTGGCTTTGAATATTCCTGTTGTTGTCCTGCAAGCCCCCTAGTGTGGGATACTCACCTCATTCCACTCCTCTTCACAGACCACTGATTCTAGAAGGTGGCATCAAAAAATGACATTTTTCTTCTGTCTGAACCAGCCAGGTGATGCCACAGGAATAAATATTCCACACCTCAGACAAAGGGAGATCTTTGAGCCCTCCTGGACAAAAGTCTCCCCCAGACCAGCTCCCCAGAACTCCCAACAGCAAAACAAAACGGGTGTTTCTGGGATGATTTCTCTCCCGGGGTTTGCAATGAGGCTTTGATAAAACTGGGGCAGATCTCAGGAGGCTTGTTCTGCTCCCTGGGTTTTTCCTTCTGGCTGGGAAAAATATTGTCCCATCCACCCATTCCCGGGAGCTGATCCATGAGGTGTCACCCGCACAAAACCTGTTACAGGGGGATAGTGCCAGAGGGTCTCAGGGGGTTGTTTTTGGGTGCTGAGCATCATTGCAGATGCCTGAAGGCTCCCAGTTTTGGGGGATTGGTTTAATATTTTTTTAATCTTTTTTTTCAGTGATTTGTGTGTGGGAGAAAATACCTGAACAGAGCACATTTCCAGCTACATCTTCCCCGGGTATTTTGCATTTAAACAGGTCTATATTAAACTGCCTTTAATGCCAGTAAGTCCAAAGGGTCTTGCTGTCCTCACATCAATGATGGTTAGAGATCAGCTCCTTTCAGGAAGGGATCCAGTGGCAAAAGGAGCATTGAAATACCTTAAACAGCACATTTTTGTTCACTAATGTACATTTGAAACGTCTTGCTTTGCTTTGTGTGTTCATAAATAACCCCAATGGGTTTTAATAGCACAATTTTGGCTTTATTACCACGTTGCCATAGTAAAAAAAAAAAATAAATCAATTTGCTGATATCAAACCAGAGGTGAAATATTCCTGATCTGTACCAGCCAGCTGAGAAATGAGAAAAGCTCCTTTAAACTCCCACTGTCAGCTGGTTTTCTCTGCCAAGCTCTGCATTGCTCCACCTTCAAACCCTTCCGCGTAATTACTTCCCTTTTTTTTTTTTTCTTCCTAGTGAAATTTAAAATAAGCCCTGAAACTTTTAATCTTCACCTCTCTCAGTGCCTCCCAGCGCCAAACCCCACTGACACTCTGTGCTTCAGGCCTTTGAAATGGCTTTGCCTCAGTCGCAGGAATTCGGAGCAGAATTAAAAATCATTCCTTGTGCCTGGGGACTGGCAGCCCGGCAGAAAGAGATTTCCACTTTTTACCTGGTTTCTGAGTGTGTGTTTCACATTTCCGCCTGATTTTTAAGCGTGTATTTCAATTTTTTTGCCTGATTTTTAAGTGCATATTTCAACCTATCCCTGCTGTCTCTGACTGCCCAGACAACACAACTCTGGAAGAGCCACAAAAAAACCCCCCAAAAAAATCTGCTTTAGGATGTGAACGTGCAGAAAACGAGTCAATTCTACCAAAATGTCAGCTTCGTTTTGACAGCGAGCTTTTTTTTTTTTTTCCCCCCGAGGCAAAAGCTCTGGGAACCGGGCGGATCCGGGGGAGATTCCTGCCGCTATCCAGGGCTTTCCAAGCGGGATCGGGCTGTGCAGGCGCTCCCAGCCCCCACAGTGCCACGTAGGAGCCGGGGTGGGATGGGGAGAGGGCTGGGAAGGGGGAGCCGAGCTGGGAGGTGCCGTTTTCCATCTTCGCTGCTCCTCTAACGAGCGGCCCCGGCTGCCAAGACACGAATCCAAGCGCAGCCCAACTCCTCCCTCCGAGTTCTGCGCAGGGCAAGGCTCGGATTCCTTTTGTCTGGAGTTATTTCGAGCGTGGTTTTGCTCCCCGGGGAGCCTCGGGCTTTAGGGCGGCGTGGATCTACTAATTTTAAATAACTTTTACTGCTCTTTTAGATAAAGCACCCAAAGGTTTTGCGACAGGGGTCTGATCCTACACTCTCCTCCCAAAAAACAGAGGGAGATTTACATATCCCGTTGTTGCAGCAACCCCAGTTGGGATGGGGGTGATGTGAAATCCAGCTGATCGTGGGAGTCTCACACCCAGCTCTGGGATAAACGACCCACCCAGATTGGTGCTGCCCTGGTTGTTTGGCTTGTTTTAGTTAAGGCAGTGTTTTACTAATTCACTTGATTATTTATTAAAAGAGCGTTTTCTTTTTTTTTTTTTTTTTCCCTGAGTGTTCTTTGGACAGGACTTTTCAAATATAAACTCCAGCAGCTTTGCCTTTTCACCCTTCAAATGCCCCAGAGACCAACCCTGTTTTCCTGGATGAGGAAGTCTGATTTTCTAAGCTGCTTTGAGCTGGCCCAGGATTTCTGCTTTCCAGGATCATCCGTGGCTGAGGGAAGGCAGGGATGCCCAGAGCCAGCACAGAGGAGCAGCTGAGGAGCCATCCCGGTGTGGAACATCTCCTGGAGGGAGCACAGCATGTGGCAGGATTAGGTCCTGGAGCACTGAAACCCCTGAGACCTGCACAGATCACGGTGGGCACAAAGGTGATGCTGCTCCTCCTTGCAGCCTCCCCCTGGAACACATCTGGTCTGGCTGCAGAGGATGCAACAAGCCTGGGAGAATCCCTGATAAGAATTCCCAAATCTTCCTGTCCCCCGTCCCGGTGACAGAGTTGTCTCAGGATGAGACACAATGATGGGAATATTGCCCTGTAGCTGCTGGGCACCTTCCTCACCTCGTGGGCAGGAACGGGCAGGGGAGGTGACCCAGCCTTAAATAAACCCTCCCGGGGTCAGCTCAAACCTTCTGGAATCAGTTCAACCCTTGGAGGTTCCCAGGGCAGCCCCAGGAGCAGAGCTGGCACTGATTCCTCTGGAATTGCTGAAGAACTTGTGCTCCTCAGCCAGATCTCTCCCCAGAGCAGAGCAAATGGGGCTGGATGGAGCCTGGAAGCAGCTGTAGGGGATCCAGCCTGAGGTCACAGAGTCATGGAATGGTTTGGGTTGGAAGGGACCTTAAAGCTCATCCAGTGCCACCCCTGCCATGGGCAGGGACACCTTCCACTAGCCCAGGTTGCTCCAAGCCCTGTCCAACCTGGCCTTGGACACTTGCAGGGATGGGGCAGCCACAGCTTCTCTGGGCAACCTGTGCCAGGGCCTGTCCACCCTCCCAGGGAGGAATTTCATCCCAATATCCCATCTCCGTGGCCTCCTCTGGACTCACTCCAACAGCTCCACATCTTTCCTGTGCTGAGGACCCCAGAGCTGGATGCAGTCGAGGTGGGGTCTCAGGAGGGCAGAGCAGAGGGGCAGAATCCCCTCCCTTGCACTCTTACCATCCCAGATCCATGGGAGGAGCCATGGAAGCCAGGGATGGCAGCAGGAGGCTGATTCCAGCCTCAGGGGAGTTCCCATCAGCATTCCAACACTGTGTCCTCCCCTCCAGGCAAACCAAGCCCGTGCTGGGTGAGGGGTTCCCCATCCAGACCTGCTTCTCCAGATTTCCACACTCCAAGGATCTGGGGGGATTCTGCTTCCTGGCTCAGCTCAGGCACAAG